ACGTCCAACCCACCAATAAAATTGGATATTTTCATGATGCTGTGCAAAATTGTGGATGATTTTTGCGGAGAAATATGTGATTTTATTCTATTTTGTCTCTCATTGAATTAAAGTTAATTTAACATTCAATTTTTTTCTAATTGAGATGAAAAGCTAATTTATCATCCAATCTTTAAAAATTTTGTAATACAGTTAACACTAAATAAAACAGTGAAAATAATTAATAAAATGAAATATAAATAAGTCCAATTTTTGTCCCAGAAAAAAGGAAAAATATAATTATTATTATCTATATCCTTTTGGAAATAAAAATCCTTTTTTAAAAAATTCTGAATCTTTGAATTACCTGTTTATTAATTGTTCAATTAAAATGGATTCAAATCAAGCAAATACCATTTTGGAAGATATCTATGCTTTTTTAGATTTTTATTCTGCCAAATTAACTTTGACAGGGTTAGAAAGTAACAACTATACAAATGATTATTCTGATAAAATTCTTCCTAAATTCATGATTTTTAAACACATGCCTTCTAGTATAAAAATTGATAATGGCTCTTGCTACTTGTTACCTGAAAAACATAAACATTTAGTCTGTGGAAGATCTACTCCAAATGGAAATTGCTTATTCAATTCAGCTTCTGCAATTTTGTATGGAGATGAAAGCAATTACATGCAACTTAGACTTGCTGTCATTATTGAGCTCATGAAAAATGCTAGAAGATATTTAGAAATTGATGTTTTTGAAACAGATATTATTTATTCAAATGATGCATTGGACTCAGCAGAATTATTGAAAAACCAGAAGAAAGAAAATTTTGAATATCAAAAACATTTTGCTTATTTATCTGAATTAAAAAGAATGTGTTGCAATTTTTCTTGGTGTTCTTTAATGGCATTATATGGATTAGCCAATGTTGTTAAACAACCAGTTTATACAATATATCCTGAAGTCAAATCAACATTAATTCGTGAAATATATAATTGTAGAATTGAACCATTCCAACCACTTGTAGTTCAACCATTTAATGAAACTGATATTGTTTTTGAACAGCCCTTATTTATTCTTTGGACAAATACATCAATTCATACAAAGATGCAAGCAGAGACAGTCTTGAATGAAAATAAATTTGTTCCAAATCATTTTGTACCATGCTTTTTAGAAAGTAAAAAGGTAGGAAAATTTGGTTTTAAAATGTTTAATTAATAATCAATTTAAATAATAATTTTTATAACACAGATCGAATCAATTGAATATATTATTGATATAAGTGATAACAATTACACTGATATAAATGATGATAGTGACTCAACAATTAAAGATGATAGTGATTACAATCCCAATTCAGATTGGTTGAAAGAAATACTAATGAAAGAACCATTCAATTTAGGACCAGATCCAACATGTTCAGCTGCAGTTTTTGCATTGGAAAATTGGGCTAGAAATAAAAATGTCCAAAATGAATTTAATGAAGAAGATGTGAATTTATTAATTAATGCATCAAATGAATTAAATACCTGGCCAGACTTTAAAGGACTAGAATGGATAATTAATGACTGGAAAAAATATTTTAATAAAGATAAAAATGAAACTGATATTAATAATGATCTAGCACCTAATGACAAAAGTCTTGCTGAAAGCAATGATCATTTGATAGGACTTTTGATGGGAATAGATGAAAAAAAGAACATTCCAAATAGAAAAATTTCAGGAAATTTTATTCAATATGATGAATGCAAAGATTTCTCATTTAAAATACCATATAATGAAGTTTTCTTAAATTTATTAATGAAAACAGAAGAAAATATAATTTGGAAAGAATCTAAAATTTCTAACGCCTGGATCATTAAATATTTACAGAAACAAAGCCAGTTCCCACCACAAATTGCAGTAGCTGTTAAGAAATCTTATAACAATAACAGAGAATACTTAAGGAAACATATGTATTGTAGTGGTTGCAAAAATGAAAACAAACCAAAAACTTCATTTTATTTTGATATCTCCAGAAACAATTTGTTCATACACAATGATGAGATAACTATCAGCATAAAATATTTAAACAAACATAATGTTTGTTATCATATTCCTGGAAAGTTCTATGGACAATGTCGGGGAGTTATCAGAGAAGAACTTTCTAATATTGAAGGACAACCCAGGGACATTAGAAAAAAGGCATTAGAAAATACTAAGTCTGAAATTAGATTTACTGGGAATAGACAAAATATACCTTCATCAAATGCTTCTAGGACAATAAAATCTGAAACTAATGCATCAGATCAGTATAATATACTTGAAAATTTGCATACATCAATTATAAAAGTAAATTATGCAGAACAAAATGATTATATTAAAAAAAATGGAGTAGATTCACTGAAACGAAGAAAATTGATGGGATACATTCAAGAACCAATACAGACACAACCATTATCAATTGTATTTTATAATGAGGCATCTCTTGAGTATTACCACACATATGCTTCAATGAATCCTGGAATATTTATTGATTATACAGGACAGCTCATTAAACCTGTACCTCCATATTTATGTGCCAAATATCAAGATAACAAAAATGATTATCCAAAAATACTAAATGCTTTTATAACAATGGCATCAGGAAAAGGGTCTAATGCACCACCAATAGATGTTTTAGAGTTAGCTACAAATGATCTCACTGCAAGTAATTTGCAGAGATTTATAAATAAATTTAGAGATGATGAATTAAAAATATACCATAACAGAACAGTTCCTTATCTAATTAATTGTGACTGTGGAAGAAACATTTTAGTTGCTTGTTTGGCTGCATATAATAATGAAACAATAAGGCAATATAATGAAATAATATTGAAAAGTTTAATTAATAATGAAAAAATTGATCCTGAGAAAATAATAATTGCTTGGTGTTATTCACATTGCATCAATGCAATAAAAAATTATACAAGATCTAAGAAACTTAAAACTGAAGAATATAATGTTGAAAAAACAATCTTTTCAAAATTTGCAATGAAGATGTGGAATAAAATTAGAATAAATACAACACTTGTTGGAGCAATTAATGAAATTGGAAATTGGAATTGGTTTCTAAACCAGAAATCTTTCCAATTAAAAGAAACAAACATTCATTTAGAAAAAGATGCATCATTTATAACTGATATTTTTTGTTTTAATGAAGAACATTTCTCTAATGAATTTATGCAAAATTTGAGTGATGAAGAAAGTGATGAAGATGAAGGAGTTGGCGATGATAAAGCAATAAATTCACTAATTAACCAATGGAGTTATAAAATCAACAATAATTTGTTATTTATAATTTTGGAAGAAAATGAAAATTATATAATTAATTTTCCTACCTTATCTATGAATATAAAGGTGATAAAACATGTTATATTCAATCAATTGATATTTAATCCTTTATATAATCCTTCATTGCAAAAATATTTTAAAAGCACATGGTGGAATACTATATTATTCTGGTCTGATATAA